GGGGCCGTGCCCGGGGCGGCTCCGGGGGGCTCCCCGAGCCCCCCCCGCCCCCGCGGCCCCCCCGCGCTCACCGGTCTCGTCCGTCACATAGGGCGTCGCCATCTTTGCGCGCGCGTCTCCGCCCCGCCCCGGAAGTGACGCCACGGGCGAACCCGCGGCGGCTCAGGGGGCGTGGTCCTCGCAGGGGGCGTGTTCAATGGCCATACATGGACGTCATTGGGCGTGGTCGCAGAGGGGGCGGAGCCACCGCGAGCCTGGAGGATATAGAGGGGCGTGGTCTGTGAAGGGGCGTGGTCTGTCGGTAGCAGGGCGTGGTCACTTTAAGGGGCGCGGCTACCCTGGCGTTCAATGAGGGGGCGTGGCGTTTGGGAGATGGGCGTGGTTCAAAGAGGGCGTGGCCTCAGAGACGCCATGTTGCTTTTAAAGGGGCCGCGCCCATCCTGGAGCCCCCACCCCACCCCGGGAGTGGAGACCCCCCCCAGGATGGGAGAGACCCCCCCCACCCCCCCATGGGGACCCCCGAGTTGGGGAACACCCCGGACACCACTGGGATGGAGAGACACCCCCCGTCCCCCCACAGCCGGGAATTCCCGGGATGGAGACCCCCGGGATAGACCCCCCCCATCACCGGGCACCCCCCGGGATGGAGACCCGCACACACATGAGAATTCCCAGGATTGGGGCCTCCGGGATGGGGAACATCCCCCCCCACCCCGTCACCCCAGGGACCTCCGGGATGGAGCCTCTTCCCCCTGGGAATTCCTGGGATGGAGACCCCCAGCACTGAGCCCCCCCACCCGACAGCCGCGGGGTGACGACGTGCCACCCCCCCGGAATGCCCAGGATTGGGACCCCCGGGATGAGACACCCCCCCCCCCCCCCCGGGGCTCCCCCCCGGATGGGCCTTCCCCGGGGGGGGGGACCCCCACACAGCCTCCCCCGCCTTGGGACCCCCGGCCCCTCTTTTGGGGGTCCCCGGGACGGCCCCGGCGGCACGTGCTCGGCGTCTCCCCCCACCCCCCCCAAACGGTCCGTGACGTCACGGGCGGGGCCAGACCGGGAGAGCCCGGACCAGGTACGGACCGAGCGGGGAGCCCCGGGGGGTCGGACCGGGGGTCCCGGGGCGTTACCGGGCTGAGCCGGGGCGGTGCGGGGCCGTGCTGGGCTGTGCTGGGCTGTACTGGGCTGTACTGGGCTGTTTCGGGCACTACCGGGATGGACCGGGGCGGGACCGGGCGGAACCGGCGCGTTACCGGCTGTAAGGGCTCTAACGGGCCGGACCGGGCGCAGGCGGGGCACTACCGGGCTCCACCGGGCGGTACTGGGGCAGTACCGGGCCGAAACGCGCCGTCCCGGGGCTGTTCCGGGCGATACCCGCGTGGTACCGGCCACTACCGGGATGTACCGGGGCGTCCCGGGCGCTAACGGGGCAGTACCGCGTTCTACCGGGTGGTACCGGGGGAGTCCCGGGCCGTCCTGGTCTGTACTGGGGCCGTTCCGGGCGGTGCCAAGGCCATACTGGGCGGTACTGGGGACCCCCTGTCCCCGGGAGACCCCCGGGCCGTGCCGGGGGCCGTTCCCTGCTCCCTCCGGTGCCCCCGGGGATTGGGCGGGTCCCGGTCCCGCCGGGCACCGCCCGTGGGGTCAAAGCTCGGCTGGGGCTGCACACGCGTGTTCGGGCGTGTTCGGGCGTGTTCGGGGGGTGCTCACGTGTGTCAGGGCGAGGCCGTGCACGGGCAGGGGCTGCACGGTCACCCCCGGGGACCCCCCTTTCCACCCCCCATCATGGACCCGCGTGTGATCCCGTGTGGATCCCATATGGATCCCATGCAGATCCCATGTGATCCCGTGTGATCCTGTGCAGATCCCCTGTAGATCCCGTGTCGCAGCCATGGAGGAGACCCAGCCCTGGGCGCCCCTGAGCCCCTCAGACTTTGCGCAGCTGCAGAAGTACCTGGACTGTGAGTGGGGCCCTGCACACGCGTGTGTGCGCCCATGGGAGGGGGGCTGCACACGTGTGGGGGCTCTGCACACGTGTGCACACGCCAGGGGCAGCTGCACACGCACACACAGTTTGTGTGTGGCCCACAGCAGCCTTGCATGTGTGTGTGGCCTCTCCTGTGTGCCAGCACACGCGTGTTCCTGTGTGCAGACGTGTCAGGGCACACACACGTGTGGCCTCTCCCACGTCAGGGCACACGTGTGCCCAGCACACACATGTCAGAGCACACATGTCAGCACACACACACACATGTCAGAGCACACATGTCAGAGCACACACACACATGTCAGAGCACACACACGCATGTCAGCACACACATGTCAGAGCACACGCGTGTCCCCGCCCTCAGACAGCAGCCGGAGGGTGCAGGATGTGCTGCAGGATTTCGCCACGGGAGGGGCTCTGGCTCAGCCCCATCAGGGCAAGGTGAGACCTGGGGGACCCCCGTGGGGTGTGGGGGGGTCGGGGGTCACCCCCCAGCCCCCCCAACCCGGCCGTGCCCCCCAGAGCCTCGACCTCGAGGGGTTCTCGCGGTTCCTGCGGAGGTACCTGGAGAGCGACGATGTCCCGGAGCCGCTTTGCCAGCGCCTCTTCGCCTCCTTCCAGAGCCAGGACGGTCAGGGGGGGCTCGGGGGGGCAGGACGGGGGTCCCGGGGGGGTTTTGGGGTCCCCGGGGGGCTCACGGGGTCCGTCCCCACAGGCAGCGACTGCGTCTCCCTGAGCGACGTCTCCTGCTACTTCTCCCTGCTGGAGGGGGGACGCCCCGAGGACAAGCTGGAATGTGAGTGGGGGGTCCTGGGGGGTCTGGGGGGGCCCCAAGGACAGGGGAGCCCAGATTTGGGGTCACCTCACCTGCTCTCTCCCCACAGTCTCCTTCAAGTTGTATGACAAGGACGGGAACGGGGTCCTGGACAGCTCGGTGAGCACTGGGGGGCTTTGGAGGGATTGGGGGGGGCTTTGGGGGGACTGAGCTGGGGACTGGGGGGGCTGTGGGGGGACTGAGGGGTGGGAGGGCTGTGGGCATTGGGATGCTGTTGAGGGTCTGTGGGAACTGGGGGGGCTGTGAGGGGGGGCTGTGGATGTCGGGGGGCTGTGGGACCCCCCAGCTGTCATTCCCCCCAGGAGGTGGATCGGATCATCACCCAGATGATGAGGGTGGCCCAGTACCTGGACTGGGATGTGACGGAGCTGAAGCCGGTGAGCGGGGCCGGGGGGGCTGTGTGGGTTTGGGGGGCCTGGAGAGGGCTGTGTGGATTTGGGGGGCCCAGAGGGGGCTGTGTGGGTTCGGGGGGACACCCCCCATCCCCCTGCCCCTCCTCTGAGCATCGTGTCCCCCCAGATCCTGCAGGAGATGATGCGGGAGATCGACTACGACGGCAGTGGGACGGTGTCCCTGGGCGAGTGGCTGCGGGGGGGGGTCACCAACATCCCACTGCTGGTGCTGCTGGGGCTCGAGGGGGTGAGTCTGGGGGTGCTGGGGGGCCATCCCGGCCCAGGACCCCCCCGAGTGCCCCCCGTGTGCCCCCAGGACATGAAGGACGACGGGCAGCACCTCTGGCGCCTGAAGCAGTTCTCCCGTCCTGCCTTTTGCAACGTGTGCGAGGGGCTGCTCGTGGGGCTGAGGAAACAGGGGCTGCGCTGCTGCCGTGAGCAGGGCTGGGGTGGGATGGGAGGGCTGGGGTGGGATGGGAGGGGTGGGGTGGGATGGGAGGGGATGGGAGGGGATGGGATGGGATGGGGACAGGGATGGGACAGGATGGGGCGGGGATAGGATGGCTGCAGGGACGGGGTGGGACAGGGATGAGGATGGGATGGGAATGGGATGGGATGTGGTGAGCCTGGGACAGTGTCAGATGGGACAGGGATGGGATGGGCTGAGCTGGGGGTGGGAGGAGGGCCCAGCTCCGAGCCCTGTTCCCCCAGTGTGCCGGTTCACGGTGCACGAGCGCTGTGCCCGCCGTGCCCCCCCACAACTGCATCAGCACCTACGCCAAGAACCGCAGGGAGGCCGAGGTGAGTCCGCCTGTCCGTCCGTCTGTCCGGCTGGGCATCCACCCACCCACCTGGCATCCATCCACCCATCCACCCACCCATCCATCCACCCACCTGGGCATCCATCCACCTACCTGTCCGTCTGTCCACCTGTCTGTCCGTTCACCTGCCCTTCTGCCCATCCCTCCACCTCTCCGTCCCTCTGTCCTTCTGCCCGTCCGTCCAGGGGACCGGGGTGCTGGGGTTGCTGGGGGTTGACCTGGGCAGTGGGGTGGGGTGGGGTGACCCCAGGGGTGACCCGGGGGGTCACCTGCAGGTCCAGGCCCACGTGTGGGTGAAGGGCGGCTGTGACGGTGCCAAGTGCAGGGAGTGCCAGAAGAAGATCCGGAGCTTCCAGAGCCTGACGGGGCTGCACTGTGTGTGGTGCCACCGCAAGGTGGGGGGGCCCGGGGTCCCCAGTCCCCCCCGGCCATCCTGACCCCCTGTCCCCAGATCCACGAGGAGTGCCAGCCCCTTCCCCATGGTGTCCCCACCCCTGTGGTGTCCCCATCCCTGTGGTGTCCCTCTCCCTGTCCTTATGCTGTCCCCATCCCTGTGGTGTCCCTATCCCCATCCTCATGGTCCCCCTGCTGTCCCTGTGGCCCCCCTGCTCCCTCTGTCCCCAGATCCATGAGGAGTGCCAGCCCCTCGTGCCCCCAGCCTGCGACTGTGGGGTCCTGCGGGACCACGTCCTGCCCCCCGCCTCCATCTACCCCGTCCTGCTGGTGAGTGGGGTCCTGGGGGTGCTCCCGGGGCAGGGTTGTGCCCCCCACTTCCCACCCGGCCCCCCTGAGCCGGTGTGGGGGTCCCAGGAGAGGCAGGACAGCCAGAGGGACAACGGTGGGACACCGGTGGAGGAGACCCCCCAAGTGTTCACCACCCCTGAGGGGCAGGCGCTGCGGGTGAGCCACGACCCTCCTGCACTTCTGGGACCCCCCTGGGACCCCCATGGGCCCCCTCGAGTCCCCTCCATGTCTGCCCAGCCCTGGGGCCAGGCTGACATCCCCTCTGCCCCCAGGTCAGCCCCCCCCCTGACACCCACCCCCTCCTCGTCTTCGTCAACCCCAAGAGTGGAGGGAAACAGGGGGAGAGGTAAAGGGGGGCTGGGGGGGTCCTGGGGCTGCTCTGCACCCGG